TTGTTGTTGTTGTGTTGTTATCCTCATTTTACAAAGAAACTAATACACAGAAAGGTTGTTGACTTATCCAAGGTCATATAGGATATTAAGTAGCCAAGATAGGATTTGAGTCTATCTTTCTGACTCCAGCACTACTATACTATTCTACTTCCCAAGGCAAGGCTCATGCCCTGGAGAAGCTCATGGCAGAGGCAGAGACAGACAGATTGAGTTACTAAGCACGATATTGCTATTAAAGACATACATAAGTCAGGTGCAGTGGTATACCTCTATAATCCCAGCTGCTTGAAAGCAGAGGAGGAGGACTGCTTGAGGCCAGGAGTTACAGATGACCCTGAGCAACATAGTGAAACCCCATTCTGGGGAAAAAAAAAAAAAAAGTCAGCTGGCTGTGCAGTAGTGTGAGCCTACTGTCCCAGCTATATGGGAGGCGGAGGTAGGAGGATGGCTTGAGCCCAGGAGATCCAGCAGATCACACCACTGCACTGCAGCCCAGAAGGACAGAGCCAGACTCCATCTCTTAAAAAAAAAAAATATGAATAAAAAGTTATGACAAAATAGGAGAAAAAGGTTGCCGAAAGATGGAAGGCAAAAACTCTACCTGGGAAAAACTTCAAATAAGGAAGGTGGAAGAAAGACCACATCAGAAAGAGAGTATATATATCTTGTGCAAAGGCTTGGCTTATCTAAGGAATAGTCAGACACTTAGTGACAGGAATATAGGGTAATTGCAAATAATGAAATGAGATTATACCAAAGATCATGGTTGCTAACATTTATTATTATGTGCCAGCAATGATTCTAAGGGCTTTATGTACATAAATTCAACTAATCCTCCTAACAACCCTATGAGGTAGGTAGTGTTATCATTAACTTCATTTTACAGATGAGGAAACTGAGGCACAGAGGGGTAAAGTAACTTTTCCCAAGGTCAACTAGTAAGCGGTAAAACTTACCCAATCTGGCTCAAAGTCCTGTAGTAGTCTAGGCCCAACCAGGAGAGAAGAAACCACATGGTAGGCCAAGCAAAGGAAGTTGAATATAAAGAATTACTAACTCTGATAAAAGTGTAACTATAAGATATAAGAAAATTCTATATGGGACCTAGGGCTGAGGGAGAGTACCCAAGGAAGCACAAACTTAAAAAAGGTTTGGACTCCCTTGGAGAAGGCATGGGTTGGCTACCGGATAGCAAAGAGGTTTGCTAGTTTAGCTAGGTTGGAGGTGTCTGGAGATGCTGAAGGTAGCAGAGGCAGAAGACCTTCAAAGTACTGGGGATGGGGGCAGAGGTGGGGCAAAGGAGAGGCTGGCAGGTGAAACCATTGCTCAGTGTGTGACCCTGTTGGCCACAAGTGACTTCGTGCAGACCACAAAGGGCTTGCTGAAAGACTATGGGCAGGTGGCTGCCTGCAGGCCTCCCAGGACTCTGGCTTCTGTGTCAAGATGCTGAAGAAAGGTTATTGCCAGGCTAAAGCTGCAAGGTCACAGAGGGGCCTCTTTCTGGGTCTGTGGCTGGAGCAGACTCCACAGGATGTTCTCATGACCACACCCACAACTCTGGTCCGGTCCCAGAAACTGCAGGAAACCTCTTTCTCCTGCAAATACACCTCCAGCCCTCTTTACTGAGAAGTCTTAACATTATGCTAACATTTCCTTAAAGGAGAAATGTTTACTGGAATTCTGTTATTTAGCATAGAGCAGTTTGTATTCTGAGCTGAGAGGCAATAAATTGATAACTGACACAAGGACTATGCTCAAAGTCTTTAGGATTTATGGGCTTTGGGACACAAGAGAATCTCATGAGAATCTCACTGTGGATGGCCTAAAATCAACCTACAAATTTCAGTTTTTATAATGGGAAGTATGTATCAGCTATATATTTCCATTGCAAATATAAACAATTCATAAGGCTATAAAGTGTAAAGTGAAAGTCCTTGAAAGTGGAAGTCCCCGATATCATTCATTCATCAGAGATAAACAGTTTTAACAATGTGGTGTCTTTTCTTCCAGACTGCCAACAAATGAACAAACATGATTAACACAAAAAGAATACCATGTGCACTCTTTCAATTTAAAAAAAAAATGTATCAAGGAACCAATATATATTTCTGAGACAATATATACCGATCTTATAACTTAAAACATTGAGTTACTACATGGTGAGATTCGGGGTGCTAGCCCTCTCTAAAATCGTCCTTGATGCTGTCATATTTGGAATTAACCTCTCCTTTCCTCCTTTCCTCTTCTCGGGGCTCCCGCGGACTCCAGGCTGAGAATGCTAAAGCTTGAATTTTCACTCACAAGCTTCTCTTATTTCAGCGTCCCAACGGTTCCTCCACAGCTGATAACCCCAACCCCAGATTGGAGGAGTCTCCTCCACCCAACTGCCACTCAGGGCCGGCGTTTTATCAATCCCAAATCCTCCCCTACATCCTCTCCCAGGCAGCCTGCGGGTGACCTCTTTTCTCCCAGCGCAGACAGAGGGTCCGCCTCTGCCACCTCCCCAGCACGCGGGCCCCGCCCCACACCCCGCCTACCCGGCCGTGTCCCCGCCCACCCGAAATCACGCGTGACTCCCCGCCCCCGGCTCCGCCCACCGGGAACTCGCGCCGCTCTCCCCGTCCCGGACCCGCCCACTTCGCTGTGGCTCCACCCTCCCGGAGCTTGCACGGGCCTCCCCGAGGCCCGCCCACCCCGCGCCTGGCTCCACCACCCGGAAATTGGCTGCCCCCCCCCCCGGGGTCCGCCCACTCCGTCCCGGGAACGCGCGCGGTCTGCTGAACGCGGGCCCGTTCCCGCGTCCGGTGCAGTAGGTTCGCCTCAGGCCCGGGCCGTGGGCGAACCAGCCGCCATGGAGGGGGATGTCCCCGCCGCCGCCGCCGCCGCCGCCTGGTACCAGCCGGCCAGCCCCCCGCGGGACGCCTGCGTTTACAGCAGCTGCTACTGGTGAGTGGCGCATGGCCTCCGGTCTACCCCGCTCGCCCGGCCGGGAGTCGCAGGCGGGCCACGCCTCTTCCCGGCCCCTCCTCGGGGGCCCCCGGCTTCGGCTGAGGATTTTACCGTTTTGGGGGAGGAGGAGCGAAAATGGCAGCTCTGGTCTCTTGAGTAGAGCGTGGGCAATCGGATGGGTTTGGGAATTCGTCCCTAATCGTAGAACCAGTGGTGCATACCTGTGGTGGGCGCTTTTCGGTTGGACTTGCTCAGCAGATCTCAGTGCTTGGGGGCGAGGATGGGTGCACTGCCGAAGTGGTTTCAGACTGAGATGCAGGTCATTTTAATTTTGGAAGACAACAGAGGCACAGAGAATTTGAGGTAACTTTTCCAAGGTCACCCAGCTAATAGCAGCCAGAAATCCAATTCAGACCCTCTGGCACCAGAAACCATGATCTTAACCACTATGTGGTCGTTATAATAATGGTTATGTTTACAGAGTACTTGCTGTATGCCAAGCATTGTTCTGGGTGGTTTATGTAAGCTAACTCATTTGAGCCTCACAATAACCTTAGGGGGTAGGTACTGTTGTTATGCCCCCACGTTTTTTTTTTTTTTTTTTGGACATAGACTCTTGCTCTGTCACTCTGGGTAGAGTGCAGTGGTGTCATCATAGCTCACTGCAACCTCAAACTCCTGGGCTCAAACAATCCTCTTGCCTCAGCCTCCTTCCTGAGTAGCTGGGACTACAGGCACTCACCACCATGCCTGGCTAATTTTTCCCATTTTTAGTAGAGACGGGGGACTCGCTCTTGCTTAGGCTGGACTTGAACTCCTGAGCTCAAGCGATCCTCCCGCCTCGGCTTCCCAGGGTGCTAGGATTACAGGCGTGAGCCACGTTATCCCCATTTTAAAGTGATGTGAACGCTGAAGTACAGAGTGAGGGAATGGGGCTTTACAGGCAGAGTCTGGCTCCAGAGTCCACACTTGCATCCTTGTCCTAGGCGGCCTCTGCAGCTGAAGCATACCCTTACCTTTGTCCTTTTCACTCCCACACCAACCCTTTCCTTCCTGAGTAATTCTTCTCCAACTTCCAGTCCCTGCACAGGAAACCTCAGGGCTATCTAAAACTACCCCTCCTCTCTTGAGCTGGTCACCAAATCATTGCCACCAAGAGCTTAACAATTTGTTCAGCTCTGACTGCACGTCAAAACCCAGTGCCAGGTGCTTCCATCCATGCCTACGAGATAGGTTTTATTATTATCATTATCTTCATTTTACTAATGAAGAGACTGAGCCACAGAGATGCTGTCGTTTGCCCAAGATCACACAGCTAGTATGTGGTAGTGCTGAAACTGGAACCGCTGTGTGATTCTGGAGTCCATGCATCTTAACTACCGCACTGTATTTCTTCCCTGCCTTTCTCCTGAATCCAGTTAGTTCTCCTAATGTCCATTCATTGTTTCATTCATTCATTCAATGAATGTTTATTAGGCACTTGGAGTGTATGTGATGCACAATTCTGGGCACTAGGGGTATAGCAGTGAACACAATTAACAAATTCCCTTATGGATCTTATGGTTCTTAATGTTTTGATGCAAGAAAAGCAGAAAAAACAAGTAAACTATGTGTGGGTGGTGGTAAGTGCTATGAGAAAAAATAAGACAATGTTAGGGATGGTGACGTATACTATGGTATGTTAGGGTATTTCAAGAAGACATTGTTGATATTGAAGGTGGTATTTGAACAGAGATCTGAAGAAAGAGGGTGGGAGCTTTGTGACTACTGGAGGAAGATCATTTCAGGCAGGGAGAACAGCAGGTCATAGGCTCTGAGCAGGAAGTGTGCAGTGGGTATTCTAGGAATACAAAGGATGCTGGTACATACAGTTGGAGTGGAACAATTTAATGGAACAATGGTAAAGCATGAACGCTCTACCGCAGGGTTTCTCAACCTTGGCTCTCTTGGCATCTTGAGCATGATAATTCTTTGCTGTGGGGGCTGTTCTGTGTATTGCAGGATGTATAGCAGCATCCCTGGCCTCTACCCACTATTAGCATCTTCCCCTAGTCGTGACAACCAAAAATGTTTCCAGACATTGCCAAATGTCCCGTGGGAGGTAGGGGCAAAATCACCTCTTGTTGAGAATCATTGTTCTACTCTGTCTGGACACATCAGGTAGGCACACCTTTCTACCTGTGCTCCTGCAGGTTCTTGTAAGTTGAAATAAACGCCTCCTCTCTATTGCTGTTAGCTTCTGTCAGATGTTACTTATCCTTCAAGACCCCATTTATTGATAATAGTGGTAGCCAGTATTTGTGTGGAACTGTGTGGTTTGCAGAGCATTTCTGATTCTGTTTTAATTGTTTTGTATTTTTCAAACAATTGTGGAGCCCCTGGTATGTACCAGGGATCTTCCCCTCTCACTGTGCTTCTTACCTCAGCCCATAACCTTGTAACCCTTGTAGAGTCTAAGTCTTTATGCTGCTTTGTCAGCCTTTCTGTTACCAGAATGATCAACTGACAGCTTGGGAACATTATCACCATCGCCCCACCTTTTTTTTTTTTTTAATTACTAGTTAAATGGATGTCAGGACTCATACCAAATCCAGAACTCTTTCTATTCCACTTGTGACTTATGGCATTTCCAAGTGTAAGGTCTCTCCCCTCCTTTTTTAACGTCAAAAGTTTCATGAGCTTCATCACATAATGTTAGTTGTGCTCTTAAAAAACAATTGGTGATAAAAAGAGTCTAAAAAAATCAGAAACTCTTACATTAAAATTTTTTTCCTCTATGTAACAGTCACACGTTTGAAAGATAATAGGCAATGTGTGTTCAAGCCACATTATGTATTCAGCCCACCAGTAGTGTTTGTGGTACCTGTGGATTCACGACCTCTTTGCATTAACTCTGAGCCCACCCTTAGGAAGGGTGAGCAGGGAACAAACAAGAAGAAACTATCAACAACCAACCTGTACCCCTTCAGTCTTCCCATATCCCTCAGAATTAATGACTCCTTCCTCTATGCTCTCTGTATGCATCTTTTATGGCCTTCTAGGATACTTTCTATTAATGGATCTGTATGTCTCTGCTCATGGTCTGTAAGCTTTAATTTATCACCATATCCACCAAGCACTTAGCATAGTATTTTGTATACCCTAGATGCTTGAAAATGTTTGTGATAAAGTTTCCAAACTTTTGTAGGCCAGACAGGCAAATGTCTTCTCCAAACTTGGTCCTAGAACATTCAGATTAAAAAAATTTTAGCTACTATACATACTATTAATATATGTCATATTAAAATAGTAAATTTTTGGTACTCCATACTACAGATCATATTGAAGTAGTTAGTGGCAATCTCCTGTTGTTATCATTATCACCACTTTTTCCTTGTGGTTTCTTAGATATTTTATTATTATTATTATTTTTTAAAAATATTTTTGAGATGGAGTCTTGCTCTATTGCTCAGGCTGGAGTGCAGTGGTGTGATAGCTCACTGTAGCCTGGAACTCCTGGGCTCAAGTGACCCTTCTCTGGCTCAGCCTCCCAAGTAGCTAGAACTACAGGTGTGTACCACCACGCCTGGCTAATTTTTATAATTTTTTTGTAGAGATGGGGTCTTGCCATGCTGCCCAGGTTGGTATTGAACTCTTGGCCTCAAGTGATCCTCTTGCTTCAGCCTCCCAAAGTGCTGGAATTACAGGTGTGAGCCACCATGCCCAGCTTTTAGGTATTTTACAGAAAAACAAAACCGTAGGAGAAAAATATGTCCAACTTCAGTATTTTAAGCCTAGTTGTATGGAGCACTGAGACAAGTAGACAAGGCCACGACTTGTGAATTGAGAGAGCGTGTATTTTCATAAAATAGTGACAGGTCAGTGCTGTTTATGCCTTGCTTCATTTTCAGGTAGCGTGGTATACATGACTAGAAAGTAGGCTTTGACAGACTGAGTCACATACTGTGAGCAGAGTGTTGGTATAGCTCATTTTGAGCAAGGGTACTATGTGGCTTATTAGTAAAAGACAGGATCCCAGAAGCTGAGCTGTGAATACTGCCAGCAGCGACGGTGATTGCCATGCACAGGAGTGTGGTTTGGTTACTGCTTGGTTTGATATGTTGGGCATCACTTTACATAGGTGGATTCCAACCGCTGCTTCAAATAGCCAAAGGCATATCATAGAGAAGGGAGATTCATCTGGGGTAGAGGTGTAGGAAGATTGATTTCAGTTCAGTATGAGAAAGAACTTTCTAAAAGTCAGGCCTCCTCCTTATTAGAGGGGCTTGGGGAATCCCAATCACAGGGTCTCTCTCTGAAAGAATTCCTGGACATATCACATAATCACTCCTGATCCTTTCCAGCCAGAAGCCCTCCTACCCAAAACACCCATCCTGTCCCTTTTCTAAAGGGAACAGGGAACCAATGTTAACTAAACTCTATTATAAAGTGTCTATAATATGATGTGCTTATGCCCACTTTACAGATGAGAAAGGCAGATTCTCAGAGAGATTGAGATGTTCAAAGCTTCTCACCTTGTAAGTGGCTGAGTTGAAATTCCAGCTGTATCTCAAGTCCCTGGACCCAAAGCTTACAGAATATTGACCCAGCATTTTATCAGTTATAAAATACCTCTGTGGGGTACTGCTTGGGAGGTAATAAGCTCTATGTCTGGAGAAGTTCACACATAGCATAGGTTGGATAACAGCTTGTCTGGACGTTTCAGAGGAGATTCAAATGTTAGCCAGTTGTTGGATAAGATGGTGTTTAAGGTCTCTTCCTACATTTTTTCTAATTGATGAATAATAATTGTACATACTCATAAGGTACATAGTGATGTTTCGATACATATAGTGTATGGTGATCAGATCAGGGTAATTAGTATATTGATCATCTTGAACATTTGTCATTTCTTCGTGTTGGGAACGTTCAATATCCTTCTAGCTATTTTTTTTTTTTTTTTTTTTTTTTGAGACAGAGTCTCACTCTGTTGCCTGGGCTAGAGTGCTGTGGCGTCAGCTTAGCTCACAGCAACCTCAAACTCCTGGGCTCAAGCAATCCTCCTGCCTCAGCCTCCCGAGTAGCTGGGACTACAGGCATGCGCCACCGTGCCCGACCAATTTTTTATATATATTTTTAGTTGTCCAGCTAATTTCTTTCTATTTTTAGTAGAGATGGGGTCTCGCTCTTCAACTCCTAAGCTCAAACAATCCTCTAGCCTCGGGCTCCCAGAGTGCTAGGATTACAGGCGCCTTCTAGCTATTTGAAACCATACAATATATTATTGTTAACTGTAGTCATCCTACAGTGGTATAGAACTCTAGGACTTATTCCTAAAACAAAGATGTACAATTTTTTAATTGTTATCATCAGTCTTCTGTTCAAATTTGAAAGACAGAAGGAGTGTTTTCCTTATATTGATTAAAAAATAATTTTATTTCAGTGAAGAAAATATTTGGAAGCTCTGTGAATACATCAAAAACCACGACCAATATCCCTTAGAGGAGTGTTATGCAGTCTTCATATCTAACGAGAGGAAGATGGTAAGTTGGTGAATGATTGCAGAAAGAAAACATGAAATTTAGGATGACATTAGAAGCTAAATGTAGCATGGGTTTAGCACTGTTCTAAAGTGTGCTTTATAAAATATAGCAACATTTTAAAGTTTGTTTTTACAGGGCACGGATGAGTTAGAAGAGTTTAGCCTTTTACTTGTAGGTAAGGAAATATGTGATGATATGTCTACACAGGTTAAGCCCCTTTTCTTTAGGTATTAATTTAGAGCTTTTTATTTATTTATTTATTTATTTATTTGAGACAGAATCTTGCTCTGTTGCCTGGGCTGGAGTGCTGTGGCGTCAGCTTAGCTCACAGCAACCTCAAACTCCTGGGCTCAAGCAATCCTCCTGCTCAGCCTCCCGAGTAGCGGGGACTACAGGCATGCGCCACCATGCCCGACCAATTTTTTATATATATTTTTAGTTGTCCAGCTAATTTCTTTCTATTTTTAGTAGAGATGGGGTCTCGCTCTTTCTCAGGCTGATCTCGAACTCCTGACCTTGAGCAATCCACCCGCCTTGGCCTCCCAGAGTGCTAGGATTATAGGCGTGAGCCACTGCACCCGGCCATAATTTAGAGCTTTTTAAATTTCTTATATTAGAGCCATATCCTCTCAGGTTTGAAGTAAAGATTTGTCTCTGGAGTTTAAATAGAACTATAGAAAACCTATATAAAGTATAAGAAAAAGTTAGCCCTTCGTGTTTGTAAAGCACTTTTGCAGACATCATCTCATTTGATCTGAATGGAAGCCCTGTGAAATAGGCAAGATTTGGACCACTTTCTTTGTTTTATAGGTGAGGGAAATACTCAGGGTGGTCCCATGAATAATTAAGTGGAAAAGCAATACTTGAACTTTCCAGGACTTCCAATTCCCAGTTCAGGTCCCTTTCCACTCTCCAGAGAGCATTATACAATAACTTGTGCTTTTGTGAGCTTTCATTGTTGAGGACACTTAAACTTAGAAGGATTTAGGTTTCTTCTTATTTATTCTTTCATGGCTGGGCACGGTGGGTATGCACCGGTGGTCCCAGCTACTTGGGAGGCTGAGGCAGGAAGATCGCTTGAGGTCAGGAGTTCAAGGCTACAGTGCACTATGTTTGTGCCTGTGAGTAGCCATAGTATTTCAGCCTGGGCAGCATAGCAAGACCTCATCTCTAAAAAATTAAAGACAAATTGGTAGTGGTTTAACTGAAGATGTGGCATTGCATTTTGTAGGTACCTATTTGGAAACAACAGACGAGACCTGGAAGTGGACCTGTGATCTGGGTAAGATGGTCAATACAGAGCACCTTTTATGCATTATTACTTGTAACCCCTGAGTGGTCTGTATGTTTTAATAAAGCAGAAATGACTGGGGCAGGAGAGAAAGGCTGTGATCATTATTAATAAATTGATCTTTTGAGAATAGATGTTATTTGGTCTGAGGTAGAAGCACTACAGATATATTTTCTTTTAACTTTTCATTTTGAAATTATTATAGGAATGATTTCAAATGGCTAATGTGGTAGTTGTATTTGTGATCTACTAGACTTTTATCCATTTAGCACTGGAAGGAACTTTACGTAGTCTGGCTGCACGTTAGAATTATCTGGAGACTGTGTTAAAAATACAGTTTTCTGATTTAGAAGATTTAGAGAGGGGTTTCTCATGATTTAGTGTTCTTAACAAGCTCCCAGATGAACATGACTGACATTTGAAAGACGTAATCTATTCCAGCCCCTTGATTGATTGGGCTAAGGGGTTTGTTAATAGCCCCTTCATTCTTCAGGTGAAGAAACAAACCCAGGAAGGCAAAGTGAGTAGCTTACGGTCACACAGCTGGTTACTGGCAGAACTGAGTCTTAGACCTGGGTGCTTTCCAGTACACATCTGTTTGTACACAACCTGTCCCCACTTAGAACAGAATGATAATGTAACAAACTCCTAGTTTCTGGATGCTTATTTAAAATTATGTATCATTTGAATTGGCTTCATTCATTTATTTAACATATATTTATTGAGTGCCTTTGATATGCCAGGCACAAAACAGACTAAAACCCCTGGTCTCAGACTTCATATTCTCACTTTCTTTGCTAGCAGGTGATCTATTGCTCTAACATGAAAGCCCAAACCCAGCAGGATTGGGGTTAGGAGTATGGACTCTGGAGTCAGGTGGACAGGGTTTAAGTCCCAGTCCTCCCATTGGTTGGCTGTGGGATCTGGACAGGTTGTTCACCTTCTCTCTTCAGTTCCTCACTCTGGCAGTGGGGTTGTGAGGCTAAAATGAGATACTACCCAGGAAGCATTTTCCTGATATCTGGTACAGTCTCTGGTACTGGTGAACGTTTCCATTATTTATTTAACTGATTTCTTGTCAGTAGACATTTAGTCTGTTTTCAGGGCTTTGTGTTTGCTTTATTTGCTTTTGCTGTTATAAGGAAGGCTGTATTAGTCTTGATCTTTTTTGTGATAATATATGTGTATCAATACTGGGACCTGCCATTTCACCATCATAAAGTAACTTGGTTAACTTAAGCAACTTTTACTTCTAGGATTACCATGTTGTTTTGCTTCATGTTTCAAGTGGAGGACAGAGCTTCATTTATGATCTTGATACTGTTTTGCCATTTCCCTGCCTCTTTGACGCTTACGTAGAAGACGCCTTTAAGTCTGATGATGACATTCATCCACAGTTTAGGAGGTAAGGAGATTCAGGATGTATTTACTTATTTTCTGAAGTAAGACCTTGATGATTCTACAGAAGTTCTTTTTTTTTTTTTTTTTTTTGCATTT